TATATATATATATAATCATATATATATATATATATATGATATATATATCATATATATGTATACAGCCTAACAACACTTGGAAAAATGACAAAATAAACGATCGGCGAAGCTATCAGACATTACCTACGTTCCATAATCAATCGAAAAAACTTTTCTGGAGTTATACCATAATCAAAAGGTTTTTTGAATATCTATTCTGACAGGCGTGCCATTTTGAGTTTATGCTATGAAAGTCAGCTAAATCGAGTTGCAGTGTCAACGCAGTAACGAAACGTTGTAGCCAATACGCTTGGATGTATCGTCATGCCTGCAGCAATATGAGAATAACTGAACACTTGATCCGATCAGCGTCGCCCAGATATCTGAAGCGTCTTAGAAATTAAAATAGCGTCCATCTTGAAAAGCAGCAGGGACGCTTTCAATGCGTTGACTATATTGCGAAACCAAACGACTAAATCATTTTCGGCGTATGTGAAGCACAAACAAACCGCTATAGGGTCATTGGTATTATTACCATTATACTCCAAATTAGAGTCAGCGATTCTTGAATATAATGATATTGTGAAGTTAATTATGGCGATGGCAATAAACCGAAGCGAAAAAGACATTGGCCTGACGCCTCGTTTTTAGCTTAGCTCGCATTAATCAGGTGGTGATTTCCAGCCTCCACCTTTTGGAGTAATGTCGACCCGTTTCATTCAGAAATCCAATGAATTGTCTAAAAAACGACGAAATCATCGCCATCGAATTCGTTGATACGCACAGTCGATTTTATATTTCCGCCAAATTTGGTGACGTTGCGTAGTATGATACTCTCTACTTCATTTTACACGCTAAAAAAATGAAATGCATACAGCTAATGGCAGTAGGAAACTTTCCTCAATATATCGCTCCAATATGATCCGCCGTCTACGCTCGATTCATTAGCATTTCGATTGATAGTTTGAGTTTGTCACGTTAATACTAAAATACCTGTACTCACTTCGAATCAGAAAGAGAGCTCTTATTTTTCTAAATTATTATAAAGATTATCTTTAATTAGCTATACGAATAACCCGAAGCTAAAGATAATGAAATGGAACTCTTGCAATCAAGGCGATGACGACAGAGAAGTACCTCTTTGTTTTGAATTTGAAATGCACCGCTTTTAAACATAAGCTATTATTAGTAACATAACTAATGTCCCAATTATCAATCTAGAAAACAAGGCTTATATTACATTTGGTGGCCGAATTCTGCTACGCTTACGGGATTATGGCACGCAGTGACGCGAATGCTAGTTCTTCTGAAAGATCTCGATTTTTGTCGCAAGTACACCTAAAATAAAATGTTATGCGAGTATATCTCAACGTTAAAAGTAATATAAAAAGGTTTTTTTCCAAACCGACGTTCGCAAGCCAGGCTGCTTGCCCCTATGAAGGTCCCTCCTACCGCAAACAAGTGCTGTCTATGTCGTTGACATGAGCGCTAACTTTTTAGCCACAATATGTGACCATCGAAAGTTGACGATCCGACAGTCACTGATGAGAATGGCTGATCAAAGCAAACGTGTTATAGATGGCCCACGCGTAGAGAATACACCACTAAGAGGCCTCAACACGTCCCAAAGAGGCCCACGTACCGTTTACGCTCATTAATAGGCTTTATCTTTCAAAAAAGGCGCACAATCCATTCTCATATCTCACACGTGTATATATGGCCAGTCAGAAATAAAACCTACTTGCTGAATATATTGAATATGCGACGGATTACCACTTCTGTGATACACCTTACCATAAATGTCTCACAGCAAGTTGTTCCACATAACAGCTTTAATGTAAAGGTGGTATGGTTTCAGAGGGCGTTCCACCTATTCTCGTTGATCTTAAATTGGCTAGCGTGTACTCGCGAAAAAATGCCTCATACAAAGCTACTTTGTGATTGTATAAAATATGGGCAATTTGTTAAATCAATAGCATTGAAACTATTATAAAATCGAAGCTCTATCAAAAGTCAAGCTTCGATTAAATAAATAACGTAAAACTCACCAAGCACAAAAACCTCCTCGTTTCTGTAACGCCGGTTACAAAGCGGCTCACAAAACAGTCTCATCGACAACAACGCCTTATCGACTCGACTCGAACCGAATTTGTTGTCTGCTCAACTCCGCAAACAACGCTCTCTCGTCTTATCTTGCTTTACTCTTCGCGTATCGAGATATCCATTCATGGTGTTTATTAGTCATTTCCGCCATACTTATACAGGTCTGACTTAAGTTTCTTATTAAACAAAATCATCAACGCAGAGGTAAATCCATTTACTATATAGTTTTTATTGAATGTACCTGCAGTGGAGTATCTTGCTGTGGCATGGCGGCAAAATTCAAATACAAGCGCGTTTTTTCAAAATGGTCGTTTGCGACACGTATGAAGGGAGTTAATATCAAATGCACAGATGTCCACATTACGGTTTCGAGCGAGGAATATTCGTAGCAGGTTTGGCTTAACCTTATGGAAAGGTTTAGCTGGTGGACAAATGGCGTTGACTACATCAAAGTACTATCGCATTTTGAGCATTGTCCGATCACACTAAATAATCAATTGAGATAAATATTTGATAAATCAACTCTATGTGACTGTTATCCATATATATCAATATACATTCTATATGCTAATAATGTAGTAAAGTAAAAACATTAATGTACAGGTTTATCTTTAACTGAAACGAAAAGATATATACACACTGCACACGGATCATTATAGCTTCTGATTTCGTAGAGAACTTGCGGCTTTCCCTTTGACGACTTTCTATCAGTGCTATTAATGAAAGAAAAAAAATTTGCTATATTTCAATTTTATTTGTTTTTAAATGCTCATTGTAAACAGAAGATGTGGTAGACTTGCGCGTGTGTAACTAAGAATCTTTTTTATGAATTATGTACACCTCATTGGTAGGTCGCTTCCATAACTCGACCCTATAGAAACAACAACGAACATGTCTTGCACGTATAATCGTAATTTTTTATGTCATTTGCAAATTAGCAAAGTTGTTCTCAGCACAAACAGCGATCGATTTTGTTAATTGGAAATCGCATTTACTGCCACGCATGGAAGCTTGATTTTTGGACGCCGTAAAAGCTGTACACGCAACCCTATCTAAATTTAAGCAGAGTATAGGCGAATTCTTGAAACTAGCGTTGGGCTATTGGACGCCATATATTAGATGTGATAACCGATAACCCCTCCATGTATTTGTTCATAGACAATCCGATGTTATAAGAAAGTGTACAGTCTCTTGGAGACCGAAGACGTTCACGCAAATCTAGTGCCTTCAAATTATAGAAGTATCTCCTTTTTATTTTTTAAAGCTTCGACTAAAAAACTAGTAAAGGGTAATCGTCTAATCATAATAAGGACCCAAATTCATGTGTTTCCACTACTTCATGCGAACCTACAAAATTTCACGTGCTCAACGATGGCTATATAGGTCTTTACGTATTCTGAATGCCGTTTCGATTGATTCACTAAACTCAACTACCTGACGAGCCAATAATGTTCAATCAATACATGAGTTTCTTTTATGATGTATACGTGGTTGAACATTTTTTTTAATTTTAATGAACACAGCCGCTTTCCTACAATTACACAAGTCGCGTTATTATATGTAATATTATATAATATTCCATCTCTCTATAAGCCGGCTCTAAACTCATAATAGATTTAACTACTTTCATTTTCTGTCCCTTTTAACATTATCGGTCATTAATTTTTCGTCGTTAATTTTTTCTAATAAACTACCATTTCTTTACCGAATCTCTTTTAAATCACAGGCGTACTTAAATAATATCTCTTGGATACGTGTGTAGCTCGTATTTGATGATACTATCGTATATTGTTCTGTTACTATTGGTTAACTTATTTATTTACAATTTTAGAGATTTCCGTCCGGCGCTGCTTTCCGCCCGACGAATCCTTTTTTGTAGTATAGATTTCTAGCAAACATTTTTTTATCGCTAGTTTTATTTAAAGAGCAGACTTTCGTTTTCAAACACCTGCTCTATAATTTTCCATGCAGAATTTTGCCGTTTGTCATAAATAGATGCTAATTTACCTCGAGATTTAAGATTGCATTTTACGTTAGGGTTAAATAAAGTCAAGCTTTAAAATTTATTACTCCAACGTGCGCTGTAGGGCGATGCTGCGTTTTAGTGTTGAAGCTCTCAAGATGCTGAGTACTAAATAACCCTAACTCAGCAATTTAAGTGACGCCTTTGTTGCTGAACGTTTTTTTTTTAAACTAGACTAGGAAACATGAATAAAAATCAAGAACCATAAAACAAGATATTAATAAATTTGACCAACAATCATCTTTGACGAAATGATTACTTTCTGTTAACTTCCGTTATTCTAGAATAACAAAAATAAATCGAAAGTTCTAAAAACTAAGAGGCGAAATATGCGGGCAGAAAAAGCAAAAAAGGGTCGCCTGTTATGTAAATTTATCAAACGGGAAGCGCCTTTAATCCAATATCAATATTTTGACTAACTAGACTGAATAAAAATATACTTACACAGTGGCTGAAGTATATCTGACAGTTCGAAATTAGCAGACACAAATATTGCTTGGTCCACAAAATAAAGTAAACGGAAGAAAATTGACGGATCGGCCATCCGTGCGTCGTGGATTGGTGCTATTCAGGTTAGAGAACTAGAAGCGTTCAAACCTTCAGCGTAAGTTACTTTCTGTACTTGCAAGAAGATTCTTCATCACTTCGGCAAGCCAACATGGTTATCTAGCTTTTGCGATTAAAACCAATTGAAACTTCATGTAGATTTGTTAACACTTACCGCTTATGAAGATCGTGGTCTCCTGCGACGAGCCTTAGGGTAGTTATTGAATACTAACACTCTTTATTAAATGAGTTTATTTCTCAATATTTTGATTTTTTAATATCATACCGTTCTAAAATTGGAAAACATTGTTAGTTAGCAAGCTTTGTCTGGTAATGTGCCGTTTGCTAATGAAAATGGAAGAACATCAATACACGATCGCTGCTCACTGAACAGAATGGGTCAGTTATACCAAAAAGGAACTGTTTGCTGCCAGAACTTGACATTTATCGACCTCTCTTGTGATATTTAATGTTTTAGGTTTTTGAATACACTACTTCATCTTATGATTAGGATGATTATAGCAATATTAACATAGTCCTTCAATAGCACTTCCATGTGCCTTTGTAGTCTGTGCCCCCTTTGAGCTCGGAAGGATTTACCGAAAGTGCTGGCCAAGCTGTTGCTCAGTATTACCCTTATTTAATTATTTTCTCCTACCTTTAAGCGCATGGAATTGGAGCACAGAAGGAATAGATAAGTACCTCAATCCACCTTGTTCTAGTTCAGGCACTAACCACCCATAGAACTGCCACCACTAAAGAGACCCCCACCCTGTTGACCAGCAGCGAGTGAGCCCAAAACGGTCGACAGGGCCGCCAAAGCCGCAGGCGCTGCGGGGTTTCCAAAGGCCGCCAAGCTAGCCATTGGGTTTCCTCCAGCTGCTACTGGAGGAACTGGCGTAGGAGCTGACAATGGAGGCGAGGCTGATGAGTTAGAACTTCCGACTGATGGAAAGTCTCTCGGAAGTCGCAGAGGCACCCCACCTGGCCCAAGTCCTTTCCCTACACCTTCCAGTCCTGGTGGAAGCTTCGGTTCTGCATTTTCCTTACGATCCATGCGGATCGCCAAAGACCGGCCATTATATACTTGACGATTGAGCATAGATATAGCTTGTACAGCCTCGATGGGATGATCTAGTTCAACAGTAGCATTGCCCTTCGAATTGCCGTCTTTGTCCACGTACAGTTCCACGTCTAACACACGACCACAAAGCTTAAATAGACGTTTCAAGTCGCCCTTCGTCACCCTATAGTCGAGGTTGGCGATGAAGAGTTTATTGCTGAGGGGCAGATCGATGCCAAGTGAATCAAGAAACTTAGGTGAAAGGCCGTACGTATTAAAAGACATTATACCTCCACCCATACTGCCTGAACCGCCGCTGTGTCCTCCATGGCTATACTCTCTCGGCGGCGATCGGTCTCTGCGAGAGGGACTTCTGTCGCGATGGCTTCCGTTTCGCTCCCTGTGCCTTCGTGTGACGACCCTACCAGTTGAATCTCGTTCGACATCGTAATCCTCTTTGACGACAAGAAACCGTCCGCTAAGCTCGTAACGATGCAATTTATCAATAGCACGCTTCGTTGCCTCCGCGTCCTTGAACTCCACTATACCGCAGCCTCGGAATTTGCCGTCCACATCTTCGAAGTATCTGACAAACGACACGGAGTTTTCGCCGCATTCACGCTTGAAAAGGTCTTTCAGTTCAGTCCATTTCATATCAAACGGGATGTTAGCAACGTACACACGCCTATCACATGGTGCTCGAATTTGGATTGGCGAACGCGAGCGATCCCTGTGGGATGACATTTCTTAAGAGTGACTCAGAGCGAACACCTTCAGCAACTTGCTGAAGTAAGGCTGAAAGAGCGGATATAAAAGGACTGTGCCCGTACCAAGACTCGCTTAGAGTCGAAGAAGTTTAAGACAAGCTAGTTGCGACAAAACGGGCGTTGGAACGTTCGCAGAATCGCAGTTGACCTTGTAAGTGCTTCTAGTTAAGGATGAAGATCAAAATCCAAGTAGAAGATGGACGACCTGGAGACTCGAGCTGAAACGGGCAAACACGTTGTCAACGTGGTATTTGTTTTTGATATAACACAATTATTAAGCTCAGTGGACTCAGCAACTTTTACAGCCCGTGATTAAACAGTGGACGACGAAAATGCTTACAATGTGTGCTAATGTGTAAGCAAAGCAATACGCTAACTATCGGACGCCACGGAAGCAGCAGGAGCGCAAGATTATTGGACATAGGTCGAGCAAAATATCACAAGTTAGGTATACTACATACGCAATAGACGGCATATTACCAGGTCACAAGCCGGACATTAACCGCGGTGTCGTTTGTTGCAGACTTTATTGAGGATAAATGAAACACTTCCAAAAAGATGAGGAAGGTCGATGTTTTTGTGAGACCTGTATTTTAGTAAACTAAGTAATGAGCACCAGAACAAACAAGTCCAACCAAAAACTAGGAAATAATGAGGAATGAAGAACTCACGAGACCCACTTTTTATTGAACAAATACCGTGTAAATGCGTTATACTTTTTGGAACGTCCTGATCTTCTTAGCATCTCCCCTTTACTTAAAATCGAAGGGATTAGAAGATTCTGAAGCGAAGCATTTCATGAGTATGTTGTATGTATATCCTTACAGATAGCTGAGATATATGGATTCCCAAACTAGTCGCTGCATGAACTTTGCCCACTACGAACATGTCCTGAGACGAGCATAACGGCTTAATTACCACAAAACTGTGCGTTTGTAAAACAACAATATAGAAAGGTTAAATATTTTTTCGAATCTTGTCCTCTATGCTTTTTGAAAAAAAAAATCGAATAAAAATCGGCTATTGTTTAAGAATCTGAATTAGAAGCGAGTACCATAATTTCAGACGTTTCGCCCTAAACGTCCCAAATAGCTGGCAAGATTACTTCACTAATCGTTAACGGCACTGACTAATATTGGAAGAGTTTAGATACGTATCCTACGAAACCAGCATTCAAGATATTTCAAAAGAACATTATGAAGACCGGCGGAATGAGGTACCCTAGGAGCGAGTTAATCGTAACCTGAATATCAAGTATATAAGGCAGATGAACAATAACTTCCCTGTTCCTTGCGCATTACAACGAACCTCAGGCTTCACTAGTTCTTAAGGGTACGTTGGGGAATTCAAGTATCCTAAATGATGCCATTTTAACGGTCTTCTCTAAAATTACGCTTTGCTAATGAACACCCACAAATAACTGGACTTTTCTATTTGCAGATCCCAGTAACCTGCATAACTACGCAAAAGGTTTTAGCGCCACAAGTTTAGTCCGATGTCGAGCTAAACCGAAGTGAACTCTCCACCTAACTACCTATTTACCTACCCACATGTCCTCTTAAATACTTATTTCTTAAGTGTTCTCTTAGAGCAAAAACCAATATCGCACTCACCCGACATAGAAAGAGCTCAAACTAAGTCGTTACCTCATACTAGCACAGGTTTCCTGTTGTGTCGTCTGCTTAGCTTAGAGTTTAACTCCGCGCTTTATCCATCAGCTAGATTATTCTGTTGTGAGGATATCAAAATGGCATTATCGTTACGGTTCAGCTTTCTCAATCGCCCCATGAAAGTAAATACACACATAAATAAATGTGACCATGGCGCTACAGAGGCCAGTGACAGTTTTCCTGGATGTTTGACAAGTAACTGGACAATTTAGAAATTTGCCATATATATTGCCTAATGACTCTGGCGCGAGCATTCGAATGGTGATGAACACCGAAACATGAGGAACAAATATTGTTTGGGCTCTTTTAACAACACGGTGATTTCCTGCTGTTTGTACCTGCTCTGAGTTTAGTCGACCTGCAGAAGCCAGATATATAACATATAATGGCATTGCTACTGTTATCGAGCACTTCGATAGTACTTTTAACTTCAGTGATCGATCGTTATAGACCAGTAATTTCGATTGATATTGATCGTTTTTTTTTTACTGCCGCGCATGAAGGTTTCGCAATTGTCTTAGACTGTTGTCGTCATACGTGTCTCAGTAAGTATAACATATAACACGAACCTGCGACGATTATTAAATCTAAAGATGGGCGGTTATGCAGCTGAACTCTTGGCTGTCCGATACAGAATCCTTTCAGGCTGCCTAAGCACCTCGCTGCGGAGGGATTTATCTGATTTTATCCTGGTTACGAGTAAAATAGTTTTGACTTAAGGTGTCAATAATGAGTCATTTGTGGCTAAAGGGACCAGTTACCAATTCTGAATTTATATATATATATATATATATATATATGTATATATATATATACAATTTTAGATTCTTGCTGATCTTTTTCGTGTTCGGAGTTTTCTGGCAACTCGCTGAGCATATGCTTCAGTTGATCATTAAAGATCTACCGGGGTTTCTACATAGCACTTTCTCAATTAATTTTAACAACTGGATAGTATGTGCGAATTGTCAAAAAAGATAGGAAGCAATATTCCGGAATGCCTCTGGTTACGCAAAGACTATTGGTTACTATAAAAGACATACCTACAAACAAGCATGTAACTGTATCATTATATTTAGGTGCATTATCATTATTTAAATCGCGTGTTATCTGGTCATCTTTCATAATATTGTATAAAAACGATTAAATCTCTTGATACTGAAACAGATAGCGATGGCTGCATGCAGAAACCTACTTAAGCAATCTTGTCGCAGTAATAAAGGGAAGAGATGCTTTTAGCTTTCTGCTCCCAAAATGATATAAACTCGCTACAGGATTATATGTAAAAGAGTACAAAAAGAGGTAAACACCGACAAACGTCTAGGTCAATTTAGCTATTTAGGGGGGTGTGGGGGGATGATCAAGTCAACATTTTCTGGAAAACCTCAGTGACTTAAGTTAAAATTTAGTTAAGGAAGGCCTTATAATTTGGTATCTGCCAGCGGGTACAGGCCAGCAGGTAATGACCTGCAACGAGGGTCTAGTTTCCTGTCAGACGCCTATCCCTAGCTTTTTGACGAATGGCCAGTTTTGCTGAATAATTCCTGAAGGAAAATTCCTTTAGAAGAAAGGTATGCTTTGCCGGACAGTGGTCGTGCAGTGACTAATTTGGAGGAGAACGACGGCTTTGTTTAAAGCTTAACCCCAGCGATTGCTTAAGCGTGTTAAACTGTTCTATATTACCATTAGGGGATCATTTGATTGTCAGGCTTTGTTTTGTTTAAGGTAGAGATAAAGACTTACAGATACGTGTCTCGTGAGCAGTTAATAGTATCTTCTGGACATTCTGCTAGTGGTGGCTTTGTGGTAGATGTCGATCTCGTATAAAACCGTGTCTTTAATGCAGAAGCAAGTGGAAGGCTATCCAGGCGTTTAGGCGTTCTGCCCTCAAAAGAAAGCTTAAAAATTATGTCCTATTTTTTTTTCATTACCACTTTCATTACGACTTTTCATTACCAGTCACGAGACCGAGCTGTTGATTTAATCATAAGCGAAATTTATGGTTACGCGACGGCCCAGGTCAGTCAGCAGTGGTTATCTATCTTTGCAATGAAGACTGACGGCCCTCGATTTATTGTGCACCTATCGTATATGCGCTTCACTTTTCTGGCAGCTTCTGGGCAGAACATTCGAATATTAATTTCGTACGCAAGCAGTTATATTTGTTTTTGGTGGGCATCTTTTTAGCTAGGAGGAAGTTCAGTTAAAGAAAAAGTTCAGGTGTACGCAAGGTTCTAAAAGTAGATGAAGCCTCAGAGCTGACAAGTAGCTTAGATTTATACAGGCTTAAACCCGAAGAAAATAGATGTACGGCCTTTACAGACTCGATCCATTAACTTGGCTGGAATAACGGTGAATTTATATGCGGATCCTCTAGTTCAGACGGCGTTCCTTCAACTGGAAATAACAGTCTAGGCAACCCTTGCTAGATGGCTGTACAGGTTCAAGATGCTCGGCATTAAATGATGCTTGAAGCATGTTAAGTTGTTCCCGAAATCACACCTGATAGATTGGTGATCGTTCTAAGAAAATTTCGGTTCCAAATTAACTGAGTGCTCGTGCTTACTCGTGAGAGTAATGTGGACAAATTAGGATCGTTCAGGACACGAATTTTTTCAAAAATGCACTATGATTCAGAATTAAGCAGTGGTTCCAAGTTAATAAACAGCTCAAAACAACGCTTTTTAAAGTTTCTTTTCAGAGTTAAGTTCACTGTTAAATTGTAGAATGATGTGAATCGATTTCTCTCCAAGTCTGTGTACTTGTATTTTCTGACAAAGATGAAATATCCGTCGTAGTTACATTAGCTCTAGATTAATATCTATACCTCCGGGTTGGATGCTTCGCTACAGCGTGATATCCTATAGTTTTACGCCAGTTATTTTGAAGATTTGGCAAAACATCAACAGATAATATTCGGACTGAGTCCGTCGACGAAAAAAAGCTAGAATTATAGTTTCTAGTCGCACGTTACGCTCCAACTGGGCGAACTGGAACTAGATATGTTCGGATAAAATACCTGAACAAAGCGGATTCGGTTAGGAAAGACAATACAAAACGTCTACTGTATTTATTTTCTGTCTGAACATTTATAATATGAATGGACCTAGTTGATTCAATGAACAATTTATTCCAGTCGGGATCTTACTTTTTTTGACATAATACCCCTACGATCACTTGTTTATACCGCAGATGAACTACCTGGGGGTTGGCGCAGGCTCAAGTTGGCGTGTTGATTCGTTAAATCGGTCCTTAGTGCGTAGTGCTCTCGAAGTTGACGGTACGAGTGAAAAAAGAGAAAGACTATAATCTTCTAGGTGTCGCTGCAGGCTGTGTGGGCAATGTCGTTTCTAAGAGTAGCTGGTTCCATCACCATTTTACTGATTTGCTTGTCAATGGTTTACATACCAAAAAAATAGAGCGTTTGGCGGGAGCCTTCGCTGATCACCGCTTAAGATTTGCCGAAAACCCTTCAGCATTACATCTTGTTTAACGACGTATGGTGTTCAGGTACCATTGCTGCTTCTAGAAGCACTTTGCTGAATATTCAGTCCTAAAAGGAAAAAGCTCTGTTCGTTCGGCAAATGGTAGTCATAAGTGACAAAACTGAATTGATTTCTTCTCTCTTCGATGTTTCTGCAGATAGATGTTGTGGGCCTGTAATTACAAACCTCAGTTATTACTACCTCATTTCGTCGAATTCATTTTTGTTATCGCTTAGTAACACTGGGTTGGCAGCTAACAGTCACTCATAACAAATGACGAACCCGCTACCTTTCAAATTTTTCAAATATCTTTATCAAATTTTATTTACTACAGTTTACTTGAGATCTGTATATATAGTTATGGCACTCACTATTTTAAATAACAGCCAAACTCCAGGTCCCTTAAACCTTTAGGTCTTTGTAAAGTACGTTATTTTACGTCTTTGTTTTAGTATAAATGAGCATACGTTTGCAGGCTGGATCCTTTGCCACTGTTCGCTACCCATAGACGAGATTAACAAACGCCTCGGCAGGCTGATCAGTATCGATGTAGTACAAAAGAACATCGCCCTGGTCATCTAACAATGTTTCCTATTTCAGGAATACAGCGCAAACCTGGCGAAGTCTGTGTCACATTCCGATTTGTTCTAGGTTAAGTAATTAATACTGCTGCAATTAATGGTTCTATCCGCATAATTTGGGTCAAACATGTATGATGTATGATGGGTCAAAAATGGCTTGTGATGTCTGAAGGCCAAAAGAAGCGGCGGCAATCTTACCTTTTACCTTCTAACTGTTTTCTAGCCTCTTCTACTTAGAAGGCATTTACAGGATCTGGCCTAGCGTTAGCGAGATGAACAGATTAACGAGTTTGCCAAAAGCAGATTAATTTCATGCAGCTAGCAGAAACTAGACATGACTAGGTGCTAGCCCACTATCGTGATGCTCCAGCATGTTGGTTATTTGGGCTTTATCGTCTGCGCTACACGCACAAATCAACATTGATGAATTTGCCCCCGGTGCGCTTAGCTTCTAACACAAATATCTTCCTTAGAGCATCAGTGCGCTAGGTTCCCCTCTATAAGTCTGGTTAGTGAAGCACCTGTTTGGATGCTACGAAGTTCCTTATTGAGAAGGGTTGTTTGCTGTGTAGCGGTGGGTTGTTTTTCAGACATATCGTAGGCTTCATACATGGGTCCACTGTTATGTCCAATATCTTCAGCTTAAATTTTAAGCCGACGATCTAAAATCTAAATGTATTTTGATGACTTGAACATTTACGAACGAAAGTTATATTATTTATTCTATTACAAATAGAAAATACTAGTTATATATGAACGAATAGCGTAACATTGTCGATTTATTTGGTCTTAAATGTGAACGAATGAATGTTAGATGTTAACTGCTCAAGACAATATCAGGTACGACGATGCGTTTCCTAAATGGTTACGCAATACCCTAGATGACCGAATATAGGGATTCCCTAGTTACGTTCGGCTGCTTCATGTAGTTCAGAGTGCATATTGCAGAAAGGAGCTAATCCAGTGTCCTACACGTGGGCTCTGATTTCAGGGTCTCTAGAAAAACGAGACACATGTGATACCAAACTCACATTGCCCTCATGTTTGGGTTTTCTTCCATCAATGAGTTTTAGTCCTTTTGGGGTATATTTCAGGAAATATTTTCAAAACGCGTAGCATCTAAGAGCTAGCGGCGCGTTACTGATCGGAAAAAGGTTGATTTGATAATTGAAAAAATGATCTCTGGAAGAAAAATAACCCATTATTTTGCAGTAAGGCTAACAATTTTCGGGGTGAGAGATAGAGACATAGAGCTCATAAAAACAACCCAGACCGCTGATATTGCTAATAGTGCCTTGATCCGCTCGTTGGGCCCATCGCGGCTGTGATGATCAAATGATAGCTGTTTAACGGCTGCTTAATAAGAATGATTTGTATTGTGTTAACTCTAATAACGTATAAATAATTCAAATAAGCGAAAGACTCGGCAAGCGCATGTTTGCACAAAAATAGGACGGAGGTAGCACAATCCATGTCACGAAAACCGTTCACCCTATCACTAGAACACAGAAAATGGTATTATTTCAGTGTTCCACTATCGAGGACTGCCGCTTTTCAATTGAATTATTCAAGAGCAGTGACATCCTCAAACTCAAGCAATGTTTCACTTACATAGAAATATTTTCGGAAACTTAGGTTCAGTAGGTTTCTTGAGAAAGAAACAGCCTGTTGTGGAACAGATACAGAACTAGTGGGGGATCCGTTGGGACTGCCACATACGTGGAAAGAATTTTAATTCATCATGTTGTCTATCATTATGCGTAACGTATTTTCCACAACAAAGATGTCTTCTCCGCGGGTGGAACAAGGCTATTGTCATCGGATACGGATTAAATGTTTATTGGTAATGCTATCAAACATTTACGATATACACATTTATAGAAGTCGCAAATGACAGTAACCCGTTTACAAACGAGCTGTTGCTCCTTCTACAATGCCAATGCCGAGCCTTATCTTCACTGACGTCAACTTTATGGCGTCCCCCGCGGCCTTACGGGCCAACAAAAAGAGAACGCAAAACAGGCTGAGAAGTCAGCATGTGCACTTGTCATATAATAGTTAGTTCGGTACAAATAAGGAAATTTCCTACTAAAAATTATGTGATTAATTCATAACCAGGTGCACCCAGTTCAGTGATGACGTCTCGGTTTGCTTTTAATAATAGACCTGTAATATGTTCGCATAGCAGCACATAATGGGATACATGTAGGGAGGCTCCGCAGCCTCTCAATAAGGCTAAACTTGCAGACTTGCTTGCATCGTAAGCAAAAGCCGCGGCCATGTTGTCCTGACAGAAAGGACAGATTAGTCTGGAACACGGGGCACGAACGGGAAATGCTACCAGAGTCTAGCATCTAGATTGTAATCAATAGGCCGTACAAAGTATACTAGGCAAGCAACTGAGTAGAGTTCGTGCTGTCAATGCTATTCCGTAGTAGACATGGACGAACGTGTTGCCAATGGGTATACTTTATGGATAAGATACGTCTTACGGTCTCTTTAAACAGCTTTTATGTTCAATAGTTAGCGGCAGCAAACGCAGTGTCTCAGCACGAAGATATCATACGAGGCGCAAGAGGTATGTGCCTCGAGCTTCACCCCCTGTTACTCCAAGAACAAGTCATGCGATTTCTTGTTCGAATCCGTTCGGGCAGAGATAAAAAGATCCCGAATGCGGAACGTATCTGGAAAATACGCTTTTGCTCGAACTGTCTACGCTATTTGTCTGCCGAAGATCTGCCGATTTATTTAGCGAACAAACCTAGCTGGACTAGTGGAGGCCTCCGTGTAAGCGGGCGATGGCAAAATAACGACATATGCAGGTGCCGTTGTAGCGCATCTTACAGCTGTACATATGAACTACCGCGTTGGAACGGATAGCGAGCTAGCACTAATATTACCCAAAGCTTCCCATTAATCTTTGATCACAGGAATCGTGCTGGCCCGCGGACCGGGTATAACGTACATATAAACGCCTCGCATTTATGTTAGATGAAGACAATGCCGCTAGCAGCTGCTTAAAAAGCTGAGCTTAGTTGGTGTTAACTATACCCGCGATTATTTGATTTAGCCAATTTTAACAGCTTATAACTCTGCAGAAGCGCTTGGTAGCCCGAATTACTTAGGCAGTTGGCATAGACTTGTATAGTCTGCATACGGTTTTAATGCCGTCGATGCAGATCGATTTGTAGCACTCAAACAGGCGAACGTCAAAGGTTCAATATGAATCTGTCCACTTGAATGTGCTTTAAGTCACAAAACAATTTCATTTTTTATAGAACCAATACGATTGAAAATCAAACAGTTGTTAAAGATGCTCCGAGAAGAGACTTAGGATGCCCCCGTTTAACTCCTAGCTCAGAGTTAACATTGTTATTAGGTCAATTTAAAACTATGCTCTCTGATATCATTCTGCTTCGTTACCGGTTAGGTACACCATTACAAGGTTAAACCTTTAACTGAAATTGTTCCAGACCTAAATGGAACGCCCTCTATAATTAGCGATGTCTGAAGAAGCACATACACATGGAAGGATACGGACACTATTGTTAGGTAGGTACATAAGTAATGAGCGTTTGTTTCACTTCCATATGACCATTCGAATCACCGTTTTTCCCTTCCATTTTTATAAATCCGTAGCAATTTTATTGCGCAGTCAAAGAGATTGTGTCTCGACTTCAAGTTCTAAATGTGTGAATATTTCTGGTTAAAAAATAAATAGGTGCATTTTTGACACTTATACAATTTTGCCTTCGGCTGAGATCAGGAAACTGTCCGATAAGTTTAGGATCTTTGCGCCCGCCGCGTACAGCGAAAATTTAACTAATAAAACTGATAAAAATACTTTACTGGGTTCAAAAAGGGGATGTCAAACTTGGACGATGTATCTCAGTTCCGATCAGTTCTTTGAGCTCGGTGAGGACCCCGGGCGATAGACAATTTCTAAATAACGTCGCCCTGCGAGCTCAGCTGAACATACCATATTTTTCAGGCCTCGTACTGAACGACGACTATTTCTTACGATTACCAGCAAGTCGAAGTTACTTGTAACAGTATATTCGACAGTGACAAGGCCTTAAAAGACTAGCTGAACGAGCTCTTCTATACCAGGCCCGCAAATTTCTTCTGAGAAGAAATCCATCACGGGAAAGGTCATGGAAGCGAGGGCAAATACATACTAGATTCATTTAAATCTTGTCAATGACAAAACCCTCATCAGTAGACGCACAACGAGAACTTATATACGAGCCATAGCTGTTGCTATATATATGTTGGTATAGATGGTAACTTAACGTGTGCTTGTTAACACGTACGATTTCCAACCACTTTGCCAGAGCTGAAAATATAAATGCGTTTACTATGAAAAGAAAAAAGAGACGGAATGACGATTCGTTGTATATTGATCCTGTGCATTTTTACATTCCTAGATAATACATTTGTACATTGAACGTGCCTATATTCTAGCATTACAGGTGTCGTCCTAGGCCCGCTTGCATGGATTCCGGCTGGCGCTTTATAGTCACTCCAATAACTCTTCCCTTAGTTTCGAGTGGTGGTGTAATGCAGTCCGCTCTTTCGAGCGAATTCAATTTTTGATCCGTAAGCACGCTAGAAAATATCGTAAATATATGAGCAGCTACAGCTGACGTGAAGAGATTTCTCACTGGTTCAGACCATGGAAGCTATCTAGCCATCTTCGCCATATTTCGCCCGGTCTGGTCTAGCCACGTCTATAGAACACGACGATCCTGTCAGGGTATGAGCTAGTTTAGCAAAGCCACATATGCAATCACGCTATAGTATAAACGAGAAACAATATAATGTTGCATCGCATTAAGCATTCTACAGGTACGTAAGTAAGTGCAGTAAAGTATTATATAACTAGTGGTCGAACCTGGTATCCAGTCGGATCTATCTATACTTATTTAGGTTGCCTAATTAGTTCCTGAGCATTACTTTTCTCGTTGCCATCAATGAGACGCGTTAAGAGGTGTTTTTTTCTACCAGAAAGGAGTAGCTCATTGCAAAATAACAACAGCTAACACTGAAGTTGAACAACATACCTGTAACTTGAGCTTCAACGTCAATCTGGGAAATGAAATATTTTGAAGATACGCAACTGCTAAAGAAACAAAGGTGATCTGACTCTGTACGCATCATATATTCAGACCTACTGATGTCTCCGATCAAAGAGTGATGCCATCAAAAGAGATAACAGTGCCCGCGAGCGTATCATACTCCGAAGCGATTAAAAGGTCATTGAAGGCTTCTCAGTGGTCGGTTTACACGATTGCTGTCCACGTCAACAGGCAAAGCATGAGCGGGTCCATAGTCTGGGCGTCCTTAGCGCGGCACCGGTGCATGTCTATGGGTGCGTCTATAACTGTTAACATGAGCATGAGTGAAGTGAGCCTCTGGCCATGTAGGGGTACCACAAGCGGCTGAGCTACGGATATCGGATGGCTGCGCGCGTGTCACACCGTTTGGTCTTTCGTGAGGCGACTTCCACGAACGATTACGGGCTCCGATGAATCTACGTGTGCCAGTATAGCAGCCGATCTCGGTTCATATGAAGCGAAACGACTGTGGTCGATGTCATGATTTGTAGGCGCAACGTGCACTACGATCGGTGCCTCACCACGTAAAGCTGCATGAACAACGTGAACTGCGTGGTGATGAACTAAAGAAATTTGGTGCGGAGCATGGAGAGGTCCCTCGGGTGCCAAGTGAACGCCTGACGGTTCAACAATCTTAGGAGGGCTTATATGGACACGCGCGTGGGTGCTAACAGGTCGATGGCCGCCTGACAGGTCTTCGCGATGGTAGGATGCTGCAAGGGGGAGCGCAACGATCTTCTCGGGAAGACGGTACACTGACGAAAGTGGCACGCGGCCATTGTGAAGCTAAAAAGAGTTGATAATAGAAATAAGCTTTTTCAAAGCGGAGCGAACGATTTTAGTTAGCTACTGAAGTTTCATTAATAATACTTTAAAATAGACATTTTTACCTCGAAGTTGTAATTATTTGATAGACACACATGAACTCCCTACACGGATCTCAAGTAAAACTCGGATAAATGTGTATCATTGTTACCATAGTACGTAAATGAGTGGGTGAAAAATCTGTTTTTTCCACTTCGGAATACGGCCGTTTCTAGTCCGTTCATGCATATTTTCAATAACGATCAACCGAAAGATGTTTTGATTTCGAAAAGAACCTAAAGAACGGAATAACTATTTTGAACCAGCTCTGTTTCATCTATTTTTACAAGCGTGTGGTTTCACGCCTTGTAGAATTTAAAAGCGCCCTCTAATGACTTGAACACATGCTACAGCTTAGCATTTAACCGCACGCTGGACAGATTCAACACGGTAACACTAACTGAAATACAATTTTCTCCATTGATGTGCAATACAAATACTTACTACGTGATGATAGTGATCTGCGAAGTCTACGGTAACGGGTTTAGTGTCTGCCGTCTGAGAATGACACGTTCCGAATGCCCACAACGCGACAGTCATCTGAAACACGTTGACAAAGGCAAAAAAACAACTCAGGTAAAAATGTATTTATGAAAAAGTTCTTATGGTTCTATGTTCTTATGTCTGCCTCACCAATTTCTCGATTGTTCCCATCTTGATTCAACCGATGGAGCGGAGTGAAGCTTTTTTAATGGTGCATACATCGTGATGTAGTGCAAATTTAAGTGTTCGACACTAGTGAAGGGATCAGCAAACGGCGACCGCGAAAAGTCGTATCAGGTGAGGGACAAGGACTTCAATGTATCCGATACGACGGCGCCAGCGCTCGCGCTTGATCATGCATGGATCACTTCATCATCGGTTTTGGCAGAATTTCCTTGGAATTAAAATGCAAGTGCGTAACCCAAATGGGACGGATCATGCGCTTGTGTGAAACTTGGTGTTGAAAAAATGCTAACTGACGGTAGGATCTGGCACGTATTTAAGCGATCCAGCCTAAATGTATTGTCAACAATGCCCGCCACCAAAGCATATTTTTCAACTTTAAAATTCAACTTATCCGAGTCTACTGGAAGACAAAACTGTTTTGCCAAATATTGTCATTAAAATTACTACCTAATAATATTCATAAGCTCAAAAGTGTTAGAACTTGTACGAATTTAAAAAACCGCCTGAAGGCTGAAGTGTAATAGATTGTAACACCTTAAATACTTAACTGCATCAAAATTACATAATAACAGGACGTCTAATTTAGGTTTCTTTAAGTTTTAATCGGTCTTTAACGATTCGACAAGGCCTGAATTCGCACTTTTTAAAAGTTCGTCTTTTTTCAAAGCGAAATACACTGAAAGAAGGTAGAATGGAGTCTGGTTCCTCGGGCTGCCAGCAGGCCTACACTATCTTCACTCTTAAGTTGCATTTTGCTGTATCTAACCAACAGTAAGTATTTAAACAAAGTTTTGTCATGGCTTACGATTGCCTATCAACATAGACCTGTAGTGTACCTGATTTAGGAAATACCTTTTCTACTGAGATCCTTTTCTGCTCACTTTCTTATTCTGGTTTAATAGACAACCAGGCGAAGGGTTGAGCTCTCTTTTGAGTCTTTCAGGACCTTTGAAGCGACTGTGCGAATACCCTATTGTACAATTTGTTTTGTACATACGTAATTATCGGAAGGTATATATTCACAAAGTGGAACAAAACTCTTTTAATAGATTGACAGTTTTCATTATAAACATATTAAAAATAGCATGCAGTAATAGTGAGAGTAAAGATAACTTCACGGTTGACCCGTGTCACTTTGATACAAAGCCTATCCTATTAGAGAGATTAATATCGACTTTTCAAAAAACTTAGCCATTTTGGAAAGTCATTTTTTATATGAAGCAAAATAATGAAATACAAGATTACCTAGGCTTTTGCTTTTTCGATTAATGAACTTATAGTATGTTCCCGACAAATGAATATTCTACGAGTATGAGTATTAGTTGACTAGGGGGCACAGAACTTAAGACATTTCGTAAACTAAAAGCGATAAGATAATTAGCAAAATTATTACTTTTGTGGCCCTACTCTTTCTACAAAAGTTTGGCGACGTTTAACTACATGGCTACGGTAAGATTGAACACATAAGGGATATAGCTATCAGCAGAAGGATTTCTATAAGTACATTCGATGTGATAGGCTGATAGAGATAACTTAAGCCAGGAGTCTTATTAGGTGTGTTCATCGGGTTGTACTGGTCGAAAGGATACTGGCAAATATAATGTTAACCCGCGACACTTAGCAGCATGCCAGTTATAACGTTAGAAGCGATCAAGCCAAGGGGGTGCTATGAGACAAAATAATCGACGATCGGTCTGCTGCCAACTAGGTGATGCCGTTCTCAGACAGCCTAGAAGGGACAGCTGCACACCTTGTACACTTAGTCAGGCCTTTAATTTGTCTCCCTATATGAGCAGATTGCTTCCGAAAAAAAAATATAGACAATAAAGTGTGTTTTCTTATGGGGTAATTGATAATTTGGCCTTTTATCTTTTCTTATACCCAACAAGCTTTTATGGACTCTCTGTAAAGATCTGCGTTCCTTGCGTTCATCCTTGAAAAAATACTGAAAAAGACTTGCGATCTTTTTAGGCTACGAACTTCCTCAGGTGGAAAAAGCATCATGGGTTCTATATAGAGTAACTATTCTATAGGCACTTCTGTTCTCGACGGAAGTCCCCGTAATGGCACCGTGGTAACTCATTTGCTCATTGAACCTAATGATAAATGGTGAGGTGGTCTAGGTTCGAAATCTAACATGGACACATTTCGTTTCGTGCTGAACAGAGTTAACTGTGTGCTAACAAAGAAACTAGAGGGTAATATCGTAAAGAAACGTAGAAACCGAAACACATTTTAGGCCATGGCCGAAGAAAGGTCCGTTGACCGTCTTTTTAGTTCGATTCTTAAACGGTTTCTACCCGTTGTTCTACCCGGCGTTAAATCCCATGAGAATAACCTAATGTTTAGTCAGATGTATTATCTTCTTCGTGAATTTTATTTCAGAGATTATCATTGCTGAAAGCATATTAGTTAAGTTAAATTGCCATTACTGTTGCAAGGACGCTTAATTTTTCTTCTAATTCAAATAATTTTTCCAGTTAAATGTTTATATCATCAGAATTCTTCTCTGCACTAAAGTCACGGTAAGCGACATCAAAGATACATGTGGGACACGCCGAAACGTTATGCCGTTCTGAAAATTCTATGCAGATTAATCTATTTTTTAATATGAATCTTTGCTTTTGAACGTTGTCGATTATCTATTACATTTCCAGAAATATTTGCCTCTAGCGCGGAATGGCATTGCAGATGCACAGTAAAAATACGCGAACCCTGGGGTGAGGCCCCACCCGTAACGATGCATAACCAACTGGACGTGGCGATGGACGGCGAAACTGAAGTAGCTCCACCATGGTCCATGCAGCACGGATGCTGGCTGAACGGTAACAATCCTCACAGCCATTAAAAAGGTTCAAACGTAAAGGCACATTCCGTTAGGCCTAATCTTCGGAGCGCATTTAATGCTTTGCAAAAAATGTGACAGTACTGTAGGGAACTTATCCAATAAACGTTTCGAGTTTAAGTTAACTTTAGGAGGGCCAAAGGACAAAGTGTCATGAAGTCTCCCAACAGCACTTATATAAAATCGCAATTGATGGAAATTACGAACGAAGTGTGTAATGATCAGACGTCTTAATCTAAAATATATTAAACTATGTAGAATAGTAAAAGGCATTCACTAAAATGTAAAAGATTTTGCAGATGCTTGTTAACAAGCGTGACCGACTGCGATGCTTATGCTCATCACTTTAGTGAAGTACTCAATTATTATATATAATAAATACGGACAAGAGGGCAGGTCTTCTTATCACAGTTTTAGTTTCTGGAAATATCACAGAACACGGTGTTAGGGAGATGTTAGATTCAGCTCTTGACAGTACACAGTCTATATATACATATATATATATATATATATATATATATATATATATAGATAACCGCCTTATCTTTAACTTAAACCTCAAAACGGCGCCAAAAATTTCAGCCTATCCTTTTAATAAGGCTCATTCGTGGCGGGTTTATTCTTTATATACGAATCGTCTTTAATTAAAATTTTAGGGATTAATGATATTCGGTTACGCGAAAATAAGTACTTTCAAGTTTACAATGCGTTTCTGTACTGGCCTAAAATCAAAATGCTAACAAAACTATTATCTATTTAGAAAAATAGCGGAATTTTAGTTGATTCATATCAGTTCATCTACCAGCTTTACCATTACTCCTGTTAGTACAGCTCTCTTTTTAGCTACCGGGCTTTTCATATATTTCCTCCTGGACATTATTATCTCCTTTCGCCGAAGCGTATCGTTAGCTTCGCTTGCCTCGCTTCTGGCGCAGCTTCTCAATTTCAAACGCAATTTGTCCAACAATTGCTTCTTGTTTGCATCTATGTCATGGGTCGTTTCGACGAACGGTTCCGACCAACGACTTGCATCCAAACCTGGGAGTAGTCCACCACCGCCAACACTATCCCCATTTCTATCTACGAACACACACACACACACACACACACGCGCGCAGGCACCCATACACGCTCGTTTACACATGTACCTTGGCGCGCGACCCCACCATCAATCTCACCCTCTCTTCAAGCGCTGGGAGTTCTCCACATTCGAGTGCCTGCCCCCCGCTACTGCCCCTGCCTCTTCTACAGCGGTCTGCTACGGCTGATGACGATGATCATGATGACGATGGGGCCAAGCGCCACTGTCCTTCGTCTGATTCGTTTAAGTTGTTGTACCTTCTCTATTCTGCTTTACGACCTGTTTTGGCTGCCCTACGACCACTCCAGCTTCGGCCATTTTGTCGAATCGGCTCCCTAGTCTACTTAGGTATTGTCTAGGCATAGCTCAATCTTCTTCTCCATGCAACTTCTGCCTATCCCAGATCTCCCAGCTCCTAACCAGCTGCCTGTCTAACATTGTGCTATTGCAGGGCTGGAAACCTTGTTACAATCCCTTGACAGAGGCGTCTTCATAGGTGCTGTCCTTTCCGCTTGTTGGGAGCTCGTCCCTAGGATCCCTGGCAGTGAACCGTTGGGACGCTGGTTCCGTTTGGCCCGCCTCCACCTCACTCCGTTCTATCATTCTAGGACGACGATGCCAACAGCTATGGCGACAATCCTCCCGTTTCTCACGGTCGTTCTTCTTCTTCTGTCTCCTCCGTCGTCAGCTATTTTATTGGCTGTACGTAGCACTGGTAGCCCGTAGCACGACATGGCATTGCCAATTACCCATCTTATAGCATCAGCAAATCCAATCATGTCAAGCCGTCGGTTGGCCCCGCCCATGGGCGGCCTCTCGCGTTGCGATGGCGGAGCGTTGAGCCTGAGTACGTTACGAGTTCAAGTTTTGGAGCTCCCGAAGCTCCGCCTCTTTGTAAGCAATGATGTACCCAGCTTCAGCCTCAGGGGATAACAGTGTCGCTCTACCCCCATTAGGAACGAAGAAACGGAAGAAGGCTATCGCGACAACTGCCTTGAGCATGGCCAGCACATGAGAGTGTATGTGAGTACATTGCCAGACTGAGTGATGCTGGCTTTCCCATCATCTCATGTCTGTTGACTCGTCTCCCCGGTTAGATTTCTGTGTTTGCCTAGAGGCGTACGCTCAAAGTCTAAAGTGACACAAACGTTCTTTGAACTGAGATCTCTTTCCGTAAGCTTGGTTACGAAAGAAACCAGTGCACCGTGTCTCTAACTTCGAAACGAGCCGCCACATAACGATATCATCAAAAGAATTATTGAAGCCGAGAGATATTACTAGTCAAGTGAAGGTGCAGGTCCACTGACTAGATCCACTAACATATGTACAAGTTAGATTTTTTACGGCACCCATTCATAAACACTACCAGGTATTTGTGCTTTTTTCTTTTTAGCTAGTTCATTGAGAACGGGATATCCTAGGGTCATGTATGTAACAAAGCATATGAGTTGATCGCGATGATTACGACTGAGTCAGTGGCCTTTTGCAACTATACGTAATTTGCAAAACGAAAAAGGTAATCTCGCCACTAACTATTCATACGACCGAGTGTGACTGTTTTAAAAGCAGTTTATGCTCAACGAGAAGTAGTAAATTCGTAAGCGGTGACGCAACGTCACAAAAATCAACAACACCATGGACCTTCGCACGGATCGAGGCGTGCTAGATAGCTCGGACGTGGCTGTGTGTCGCAGCGAAGAGCCTCAGAAAACGTCGTTTATGATTGAGGACATTCTAGCTGAACGGCAGTGCTCCATAGACAATCCTGGTGATTCGATAACGATTCATACAGGATCTGATACACCTCTAGGCTCGGGTATAACTGTGGGAGTACCTGGTCTACACTATGTTGACTTTCGAGCTGGCATGTTTTACCCAGAATGGCTACGAGTACCCAAGAACGGCCCAGGCACCCCCGGATCGCCACCGCTGCTAAGTTCTGCAGGTAGGTTTTTGATAAGAACTTAAGTTAATATACTCTCGGTTATAAAAATCATTTTTAAGACATATAAGCTTACCATATTTTTCACAAAAGAAGTATAGATGTTGGTAGATACGGTGGCTAGTCACACATGTGAGTGTGTACCGAGTACCGGCTACCGAAGTACCGAGACACAATTTTGATGCAACTCTTTGATTATAATTATAATATATGCATTTACGTATCGAGTAGAGATACGTCCTGTTACACTTTAAACACTGATTTTCTCGACTCTGTCACCGTGTTACTTATTTAATTCGAAGCAACTTATAATATGGCATAGGTGCTATTAAAGGCGCGACGCGGATGACGAGCTTATGAAGCTTGCAGTATGTGCTGCACTAGTAACAGGCTATTATCAGTAATTAGACTGCATGTCCAGTAAACCCTAGAGCTGCCCACATACAGAAGAGTTTAGTGTGTACCTCAAGTTACGCCCAATCATACCCTTTTTTTTTTTTTAGATGATCTCTCTTTACCAACTGATTCTCCATGAAGTAACCATGGTGATAGATATTTAATAGAAACCTAGTTTCACAGAGAAACAAGCACGGACCACTGATTTCAGAAAGACCAAATGGATGGGCGAGCGTTTTTGTTGTTAGCTTATCATTAGTCTTGCTTTTTAATGGATGCACTGTCGCGTTTTGGTTCTTACGTAGACTATATGACTCTATATATATATAGGTATATATGCAGTTGTCGTTGTATCTAGAAAAATATTGACGCAGCAAGAAGGATATGGTTACGACAACAATAGTTGACAATTAATTAACTATTAGTTAAAAACTATCTCATGAAGTTGATCAGCTGAATAGACTTTAATAGTATCGAACCAAAAGCGTCCTGGTTCACTCCAGCTGCGGCAGTCTCATGGTGGAAACTAAAATTCTACCTCGAAGCTAACCCTATGGCAGCCAATATCGAAGAAGATTTCATGATCTTCAAATGTTTCCTTTATTCAAACCGGAAGCCAAGTGGATGGGCATAAGAGGAATCATTGGAGTACATCTCACGTAAGATTTTTCCAGCAGCAGGCTCTCCAGTTATTGGAAACAAAATATCGAAGCAGTTGATCTAAGATTAGAAACGTAACCGAACATCCTTATATGATTGGATATATATATATTGGATATGATGCCGTGGATTTGTTTATAGCTATAGAAATAGCACGATCGATCGCATGGTTTGTCTTCGTATTTCGTAGCTGTGTAATTTGACAACTTACGAACGATAACATGGACGGTAACTTGCTTGTATGGCTTAAATAATGTAAAGACAGAATTTCCACTAAATAAAGCGTAGCGTACAGAGTAGCTGAGTGCTAACAGCCGGCACATGTTAATACCATTTTGTGAACCTCTCATTATCAGTTTGAGAGGTATCTAATTTTTTTAAGGAGATTGCTGAAAACTAGCACACCAGATTTCATTGCTATATAGCGTTTGTTTTCTACTATGGGACTCGCACCCATCGAGCTTTGTACCCCATACGCTAGAGGCTTATGTTGAAACCGATTTAAATACTACTTCAAATTAGAAGTGTATTTTGCTTGGAAAGTTTTCCTTATTGATAGAAGAGTAACATATCGAGTTCCACGTTACAGAGTGCACTAACTTGAATGAACCTCCTATCATGGAAGTTTGTTGTGCCATGGATCATTTTCGTGATAAATATCATAATGTTTATCGGTGGTGTATCCAGACGACCGCTCACCCACAAACAAAGGAAATTTAGATGAATAATTCAACCGAACAATTGGAGCTTTACTTGATAATTGTTGTTTCGCTGCAATTTATCCTGATGGAGCAGCGAGAACTACTGTTTTGTGCCGCTCAAACTTTGCGTATTGAAGCCTAATACTATTACCGCTTTATATATATGTTTAGCTAGGCAGATCAAGGTACGTGCGAGCCCGATACCACTAGAAGTTCGCGGTAAAATAAAAAAAATACACGACATCTCCTGTTTCAGAAAGGTGCGGCACCTAGAAGTCTTGTTCCCCTACTTTGTTTCTAAGAATGCTTTTAAAAAATTTACAGATTTTTTACAACTCAGTAAATTTGTTTGCATGTGTTAGAGGAACCATTCCTGACGTTCATGCTCATACAATATAATCATCGTCATTGCAATTATAACTTAAGTAAGGGTCTGAAACCGTCCCTGAGGTGATCCCGTTGCAGTTCTGCAAACGGCGTCTTGATCACACGAATGAGCATATCGACGCCGTGATATTGAGGCTCGTTGGCCTTTTCCGTAGTAGTAGTAATGATTTATACATTGTAATCAAACGGGTTCAAATCTGGCATGTACGACGACCATATTTGCTTATCATAGATCATCTTTGTGTTTTTAAACAGCTATATTTGTACCTATATCGGCTTGTAGAAAGTTATGCCCCATTTTGTTAGAAAACGTATAGACTTGTTCCAGATACTCCAGGTAATAAGCTTCTTTAGCAGTGTATTCCTTCTTGCACAAAGGTATGGTAGCGGGACGTCTTCTTCACTGATACCATACTCAGAGTATAAACTTTTACCAAAAACTCGTTTCTACCCGTATAGTCTAACCGTGAGCAAGCCACTGACCACTTCTGCCGTTTCATGCGATAAAAAAATTTTCTCGTCTGAGGAAAATCGAAAACGACCTGCTCATTCTTTTTAGGGTAATTCAAAGGTAAAATCAGGCAAATAAATAACAGCGGTCAAATCTTAGGTTTAGTGTTTCGCTTAGTTTTATTGCGCTCAAACAGCATCTTATGGTGCATACCGAGTATCTGAAGTCTACCTGAGTAATCGGTGTCATCATATGTTCACTCATGTTAAATTTGTTTAATAACCCCCTGATCGATATAGAAGTGTCACATCAGCAAGCAAATGTGGAGTCCTGTCTGTTCCCAGTCATGGATTTTTGGTGTGCTGTATCGGGAACTTCTCTCAGTTTTCCTGCAACCGCATTTTCATTTGCGATGCGATATACCCCCGATTAAGCATGGCCCAGTAATTTATGGTGGTTTGTGGGGTTCGTCCACACCGTAGAGATTGTATAATAGTTGATCGCCGCCCACAATCCGAAAGCATGCGCTGGGGTTTAGACGCTATAACGGGTGCTTTAGAGCAAGCTGCCTTTTGTTTGCTAGCAGGAATAGCGCATGAGTGGAGGCACGCCGGTGACGACAAACTGTTCTCCAAGGTCTGTTCCAATTTAAGCGCCGTATCCTATACGTACATTTTAGTTTATTTGTGATCCCTTACAGAGCTTATTCTATACCAAAACATATTTGTATGATAAATCTGTTTCCATCGTTACTTACATTTTACCTACCATGATCATAATTACAATAATTCCCTTTGTTTGTTCTAATTAGCACCCGTTCTTACTGTCGCTCCGCGTCATAATTCTGCCGCCACTGTTTTTTGTTAAACTGCTTGCGTTTCGTGCGGTTCACAAATTTTCCTTTAATGTTCCCGGCAAAACGCCTAACGGCACTTTCCAGCTTTCTAAAGATTTCCCAAAGTAGTAGTTTCATATATACTAATATCCCTGCTCGTTGTCCTAGCTCTATTTAGCCGTCGTTACATCCGCATATCGCTCTTACTATCTGTTAATGTACCCGACGCTCCCGTTAACTTATGCGTTAAAAAGTTAAAAAAAAAACAACGAAGTTCCTCTCATTTCTTCAGTTCGCTTACGTTCTCATACGCATTTCGGCCAATAGCCCCTAAATCTACTTGGGCCACCTGCCCCATCATGTATAGCATCTGTTATTAGCTTTTACCAATTGTCCACATTATAGGTCACCCTCCTACTTGAATCGGTTTCGATATTATGGGTAAATTTGACGGCTTCTTTTACCATTTCATTTCATGTCATGTAATTATGTGACCCTATGTATTTGACCCTTGACTTAGGGTTTTTGCCGATGCGTCCTATACCTCTCGTTGACTCCGTTTACTACCCCGTTACTAAAGGCATGACAATGACAAAAATGCTAATGACTAACAGTATTGATTGGAGAGCAGAAATCTTGATTAATCTGTGAATTTAATTTGGCGCTTTTTAGGCAGTGTAAGCTGCGTTTTTGTTGCTGACTCGGCCAAGACAGCCATCGCGACTTTTATGGATATGAATGAATGGTTTTTAGCACTAATTACCGAGTTGTACAGAGTATCACACAATTACATACGGAAATATTTCTCCGACGTTGTCCTTAAGAAACTCGCCCAGACATTACTTCTCCCTCCAACAACGGAATGTATCCTGGAGGATCTAGCACTCGCATTTTAGCAACATAAGTCTCTCGATACGCAATATATAGTTACCGCATTTTATCACCATTTCCCTTTAGTCATTTTCTCTCAATTACTATATATCTGTATCTGTCATTGTGTAAGAAGAGGTAATGTGGAAAACCACACAGTAAACACAGTATGTTGCCACAAAGGAAACATTCAAAGGACATCTGGTTACTTTTTTCCTGCTTGGCAACTTATGCTCCACGAATATGGTCAGCTGCTGCAGGCAACAAATTTACGTCCACATTTCCCTTAGCATCAGCAGCTCCTACAATAGCCACACAGGACCCGCAAGTGTGCTTTCTAATGGCCCCTTGCGCAGAGTAAAGCAATCGAGATACGTCAATGATTCTGTAAACAAATAAAACTCATTGGCAATGGGTCCGCGATCGTGGCTACAGTTAGAGAATGCCTAAATTTGTGCCAGCTCAAGTCCGCATTTGGATTTGATCTTGAAATAACGTTGTAGAAGGATCACCTTGTTTAGACGAACTCATTTAGACACTGACCGGTTCTTCGTATAATTTAAATGTTACTAAGGTTTTTTTTTTCATAAATAAAACGCAACTGAAGAACGCGTTATTATTGTCAAAGAAGCGGAAACTTCCATTTTTTTTGGACGAGAATGGGTGCACTGCGTATGTATGACATGGCCTAGAGTCCTCAGCA